GCCGGTGAGTGTCTTCACAAATATCTGCATGCCACCACGGAGCCTGAGCACCAGGTGAAGGGTGGACTCCTTCTGGATGTTGTAGTCTGCCAGGGTGCGGCCATCCTCGAGCTGCTTGCCAGCGAAGATCAAGCGCTGCTGGTCCGGAGGGATGCCCTCCTTGTCCTGGATCTTAGCCTTGACGTTGTCGATGGTGTCGGAGGACTCGACCTCAAGGGTGATGGTCTTGCCGGTGAGGGTCTTCACAAAGATCTGCATCTGTAAATAACAAAGCACACAGAACCAGAGTTATAAACGGTACAGAGAAATCTGTAGGAGATCAAACAATACATGAGATGATACAACAGAGATGGAATTGTAACTAAGGAATCCCTTAGAATAAGCTAATCAAATGATTGACAGTGCTAACTTTCGGAAGAACCTATATCACAAATATATTAGCAGATTCATCAGCGAAATCTCTAGCCTCATGGGCAGTATATATTAATCAGTTAAACAGAACAAGCTGGCCAAGTCATGGCCGTATTAACAGTAATATCTTCTTCAAACCCACATGTATTTAAGAGTTGAATCAAAAGACTAAACAAGCAGCTACAGGGCCGAAACCACAAGAATAATGGAAATCTGCAGTGCGTCAAACTATAGATAAACCAGGCCACAGTACAAAGAATCCCCTAGACTAAGCTAATGGATTTCAGAGCATGCAGTGCTAAATTTTAGTATAACTCGACAGAAATATATTAGCAGATCTACAAGCAATCTTAGGCTCTTAGCCTCGCGGGAGCAATGCGAAGGTAACAGGTCAACGATAATATCAGACTCGTATTATTTTTTCAGAGTAGAATCGATGCACAGCTACAAGCAACTAGTACAAGGCTAACAGCAAGCAACAAGGTTACCAGCAAATTGCAGGCATACAAGAGCACTATGACGATCTATCAACAACCAGCAGGCATAATTACTTCTTTTAGGGGAATAGATATAGTCCAAACCAACAGCAACCGCATCCCAATCGACACATCTAATCAACAATCGAGAGAGAACAATCTACAATCGAGTCCAATCAACCTCGACTAACCAAACCGGCAGGAATCAGTCGACGATAACAGACTCGGCCCGCAGATCTACTCAATCCAATCCAAACTACTAACAGGAATCGAGGGGAACCAACAACAATTGATCAAGGTCAAGGTAGTCCTACTCCTAGGGACAATCCCAGGGCGCGCACATGACGATAGGGGGGAGGAGAAAACGGAGGGCTCGCATCCATACCTTGAGGAGGGGGACGAGAGAGCCTTGGCTTCGCTTCGATCGGAGGAGATTTCTCGGCGAGATCGGAGGGGGGCTGGATTGGATCGGATGTGTGGAGAGAAGACGGGAGGGGGCGGGGAATTTATAGCAGGCTCGGACGGGACGGGAGAGAAGGAAGAGGAGACACGCCACGCCTGACGTGTGGAGGACGGAGCGGATAGGCGGAGGAGGGAGAGGCGGTCGCGGAGTCGTTGGGGGTGTGACGCCGTTTGCTGCCGTTGGGGGTTTGGCTGGTTGGTGGCCGTTGGAGTTGGACGCCGTTGGTGCAGTGGGCACTCACCGCGTGAGTCATGATCTTTCCTTCGCCGGCACGCACGGGATGAGGATATGCTTTTGATTTTATTTTATTTTTTCTTTGCGGGGATGTGGTTTCGAATTTTGTCTTGTATATAATCGTATTTATACTATATTATAGCTTTGCAACAAGATATTTTACGACTGGAAATATTTGACCCAATTTCTTGAATTTACATGATTTAATTTTATTATGTTAAATTGAGTTTGTGTTCTGAGCCCAAAAACACGGCTTGACATCGTGGATAAGAGTAGAGTGGTGCGAATATAATTTAGTAAGGATACTTAGACTCATTCATGAAAAAAAATGAATTTTCCACTAGTTGATGTGGGGTATCTAGAAGGCCTGCTAGAGCCATGGACACATGCACCCCATGTACGATGTCGATCTAAGATAACTAATCGATAGTTAAGATTAGAAGGCACGAGAAGATGGAAGGAGAAAAGAAAGGCGCTTGCAAAGGAGATGTATGGCATCGGTGTTGTTGTTGGAGGCGAGGCGAAGGGTTGACATCTGCGGGCGTGGGGAGGGAGAGGAGGGTCGCCGGCACCAGAGTAGGGGTCTTTAGAGGGTAAGACTGATGGCCTAAGCGCCTGCCAAGGATGTGGTAGGCGAGACAGTACGACAACAACACCGGACATGAGTACTTGTGGCCAGCGAAGATATCGTGGATTGACGATGGAGCATAAGGAAGCCGTCGACAAAGGAATGAACTAAAGCAATTTTCTTGCAAGCAGCACACAAGTAGCCAGTCCCATTATCTGATGTTACCCTTGAAAATTCAAATGCAATCAATTATTTAAATTAAAAAAAGCGGGACGACCGTGTGAAAAATAGGCACCGGCACCTACTTGTCATCCCCACCACGGCGCGACGTCCGTATGATATGCGCCGACGTTATATGACGGTGAGGAACGAGAAGAACACGTCCGCTCATGACTTTCCGTCCCACACGTCGCGTCGTGGATGTTGCTTTCGCTCTCATCCTCTTGTCTGCTTTAATAAATTCTTATCACAAAACCTCCCGAAAAAAGATGAGAAGAAGATTCGATGAGACACTATTTCACGGGGTGTCGCTTTCCGAGCTCAGTGTATGAAGGATACAAGAATCGTCGTGGCTTTTCGTGACATTTCCCATGAACTCTCCTTTTGGTCTGAGTGCCCGAAGTTAAGCAAAAGGTCGTGGCTTTTCTGAAGCTTGATGCATGCATGCATCAGCTAATTAATTACGAGGGCAGCAGATTGAAATTTTGCTTCCTGGCGCGTCTTTGCCCTGGTGGCGTGTATCAGGCCGATCATAGAGGGCATCCGTGCTTAATTATACTGACTGATTAATTAATCAGTGGCACGATGACGATGCATTTGGTTGGAGAACGACTCTGCACCTAATAAACCAAATAATGATCTAGTGCAAGACGGCGACATGGGCAGCTGAACAAATCTTAGCACTAGATTTATCGATAGTTTATGCTTGGCGATTAGAGCTATGATTAATCGTGTGATGAGCGGGTTAGATGAACCCGCCGGGCCTAAGATGACTAGCAGACAGGCAGGTGATCTGGAACACGGAAGACTGTTCTAGTCGGTTCGGTCGTTCTAGATTGATTTATGAGTTGGCTGCTAATGGTTGAATGGTGGATATAGGACTATTAGGGGGCGGACCTAGGACGAAAATGTCCCGATGTCCACGCCTAAAATACATGTGTGGACGCCAAGCTATGTTATGCATGTAAAACTAACATACTCAACAATTCTAGATAACAAGTAGTAAATATCCTTATAAAAATAGTGCTCTACTTGAATTTGTAGTTGATTATATGAAATCTTTCGCCCAAGTTGAACAATAAAGCATAAAAATTATGAACACACGTTTAATCAGCTAAGGCTACACTATTTAAGTTTGAACATGCTAGCATCGAAACAAAAGATAAAACATATTTGTTGAATTTATAATTATGAAGATGTACTTAGTTACATTGTGTTGTTCTGAGTTGTGTATTCAAAGGCCAAGTAATGATCCACATAAATGAGAACCACTTGGACTCGATTCTACTCCTTACCAACACTAGCAAATCACAGTAATTCAATCTTAATTGTACCATCCTTGAAACTAGAAGCTCTAGACCTACAGAAAAATTAGAAGGAAGTCATATAGGTACACACTTGGACTTGATGGTAGCGACTTGCCGTACTTTTTTCATAAATTATCCAACTATTAGGCGAATAGGCCATGGCAACATGGACGCTTCGATGGCGATTCGGCGGGTGGGTGAGGCGACGCGCCGTGACGAATCTGTGCAGGGGGGCAAGAAGCCATGAGTAGGTGCAGATTTTTTTTTTTGAAGAGAGGCAAAAGATTTGCCTCACTCATTAAATAAGAGGGATAGAGTTTATGTTCGTGTTACAACACTGACAGCGTCGCAACACTCGAAATAAAGGTGACCGACTACTCTCGCGTCATCAAGTATCCCAACTTTCTTGCACCCGTTGATACCCAAAGCGTGGCCTCCTTCTTAATGTTGGCGAGTAGAACCGTCGGCGGAGCACTCTTCTGACGGAACACTCGCACATTCCTCTCGTTCCAAATGGTCCAGGCAACTGGCATGGTGAGTGAGGCCATCGCCTTCTTGTTGGGGATAGATGTGTCGGAGAGGCCCACCCACCACTCTTCGATGTTGCCTGAGAGGTGCCATGAGGAAGTATCAATGCTCACCAGTTGCAGCCGGTCCTTGACTAATCCCCATAGGCGGATAGAGAAGCGGCATTTGTAGAAAAGGTGGTCAACAGACTCTTGCTCCTGCTTGCAAAGTGTACAAAGGCCACAGTTTGGCCATCCGTGCTAGCTTCTCCAATCTGTCTGCCGTCCAAATTCTATTTTGACACTAGTAGAAAAAAGGTCAAATGTGAAGCACATTAGTGCCGGTTTGAATTTGCGCCGACACTAATGTGTGCATTAGTGCCGGTTCCAACGGCTAGCCGGACGCTCTCATTAGTACCGGTCCGTGGCAAACCTTTAGCATCGGTTCGTGCCACGAACCGGTACTAAAGTGAGTGGTGGTAGGATGTTGTCAGTCTGGGGCCCCTCCAGCACCTTTAGTACCGGGTCGTATCACGAACCGGTACTAAAGGTCGTCCTACATAGACCTTTCGTCCACCCGAGCTCGCTCTGTTCTTCCCCTTTCCCTTCTCCTCTCTGTTCTTTTCCCTCTTCCTCTCAAGCTCATCACACATTTTGCCCAAAATTTGTCAAGATTTGAAGGCCCCCATCCATTCAAATGATCACAAAGGTTAGCAACTTTGTCCTTTCATCTCTCATTGCTAGATTAGCTCGTGCAATGCTTTATATAGTGATTGATTTTTTAGTTTAGTAATTTGGGAGGAATTATATATATGTGCTAGTATTTGATTTATATGCAATTTGAGGTCAAAAATAACACTTAGTTTGCATATGTAGGTATGGTTTACTTAGCGCCTTCAAAATCTCCGTCGTAACCACCGTCGATCGCCCACAATGTCCCGTCGCCATCACCACCTTGTGGTGAGCCTCTTGTTCATGAAGTTTTATATAAAATATTGATGTTTGTGTGATTTGGATATATAGTTACTCGTATAATTATCTTACCCATATGTTGTTTGGTATACATAGTGCCAT